TAGATAGATAGATAGATAGATAGATAGATAGATAGATAGATAGATAGATATAAATGGATGTAGACAACATCCCATGGCTCTGCCTATACACACAGAAAAATTCAGCTTCCTAAAGCAAGAGCAAGCCCTAATTCTACATCTAGAAAGTCTTCCCAAGCTCCTTTGTTCACATTTTTACCCTGATGGCATAGTCACCATCCTTAAGATGACATAAAGATGAGGATTCATTTTATTTCATAGTCCCACATTCTTCTTGTAATCTCTTTCATGTCATTCTGCATAGTCTCCTCCTGCCTGCTCATCTGGAACAGCGTGGTATCCCTTCTTCCCTCAGTAACCATTACTTGGCTTTAAAGATTGGTTTCATTGTCTTCCTGGAGGCTTCTCTAGTATTTCGTTGCCCAGTCCTGTCTTCTTACTCCTTAAGAATAGACCCAGTGAATACTGTATTTTCCTGTATGGCCCCTTGTAAAGACCTCCTTTGTGACACTTATTCTACTTGATGGGGACTGTTTCTTATCTGATACTGACCATGTAACTGGTTGCTCCTCCATGAAAACTGGGCTGTTGTTTTTGGTAGTGCCCTGGCATACTGCATGGTAGCCTAGTTCAGGGTAGACACTTGGTAGCAATTTTTTAGCAAACCTGTGAATGATGAAGAAAATGAAAGTGACCCAATTTTAGAAGCAGGTCATCTCAGCGAGGCCTTCCCAAAACAGCCATCTATACTTCCACACAGCCTTCCCTCTCTGTTGCAGATTATTTCAGATTTTAATCTGTGCAAACATACATGTAAAGCTACAGAAAGACACACTTACATGTATGTTGACATCACCCACTCACTGAACACATATTACTGTATTATTTCTGACCACCCAGGGAACAGAGGTAACTAAACCACAGCCCCGAAGAAACCCATCTTTCCATAAAGGGACTAAGTCATGACAAAAAAAAAAAAGCAAAAATAAAAGCCAGCGCTTTGAAATAGCTGTGTGAACTGCCCACTAAACTGCACTCGGCAGTTACATAATCAGAGGAAGGCATGAGAACTTGTACATTCTTCCTATGTGGCCCCACTTGTGCATTTTTCGCACTCTGGAGAGTGGTCATGCTCACTAGAGGCAGGAGGAAAAGGCTGGATGCTTTGGAGTTCAGCCATTTACCTTTGTGCAAGAGTGAGAGACAGAAATAGTCAAATTCAAGACTGAGAAGTCATATCAGCACATGGCACTCTAAGAATGGACTCATTGTCTTGCAACTGGCATATTACCTAACACATAGCAACTATTTCTGGACATTTATTTAAAATGAGAAAGATGAACTTTTTTCAAGAAGTAATGGGAATGGTGACAGTTTCTGAACCATGCATCTGTGTGTTCTAAGTTGCATTAACTGCTAGGTAGATTCTCCTGTCGAGACCTTTCCACTTACTCCTCCCAGCCGCGTCACTATAAAAGGTATGTGAGTCAAAGAGGGGAACCCCAGTGACAGAGATGTTCTCTCAGAGTGAGAGCTTGTTCAGATCAGGGTCTCCCCCTCCCCCATCAACAACACCATTAGTCCCAAGATCTTCTCTTCCAAGCTCCTCCTCCCTTTAGACTTACCCAGCTTTAGTCTTTTCCCAGCCCCTCTCAGTCAGACTAACCTCTCTGCCACCTGGGCTTCCTGCCCTTGCCCACGGATTGGGGGAGGGCACCTTTGTGGAAGGAACTTTTTTGTATCATAGTGTAACATTGTGGGGACTGGGGGGGGCACAATGATTCAAACAGAAGAGGTGCTTTTACAAAAAGCTCTAACCTCAAAAACATCAACTCTTAGCCCAAGAAATGCATTTACTATGTGGGAGGGCTCTATGTGAATTGTCCCATTGAATTGTCTTATACTATCTTGTGCATCTCCTTGCCCTAGATGGTTTCCCATGAATGTGAAAGCCTACCCAGGGAAATGGGACCACCTTTCAGCTTATGAGGCTTACTCTTAGCAAAGTATCTCAACATAATTTAAAATATTAAGTAAGTAAATAAACCCTTTGTGAGAAAGACATTACAAATCTCTCATCAAAGACTACCCAACCCCACCAGGAAGCCAACCAATTTCAAATTTACTGTTTCAGTCCCTGAGTGAATTAAATGGATCCTAATTCCCAAGCCAAAAGTAGTATCTCCTCTTCAAATTGAGATTGGCCTCATGCAATGTCAAGATTGCCTTATCCATTCTGGAGGTAGATGGAAAATGTGGGCAATCCTGGGTCTGTGCTCAAGACGGTGAGGAAGGACTTGTTCTTGGCCAGCCCTTTTCTGCTGTGTTCCTATGCTGAGCAGTTCTTCGGACCAGGGACACAACTCACAGTCCTAGGTAAGAAGCCAGAGGCCACACAGGTGGGAGGGGAGGGGAGACAATCAGCCAGAAAGAACCCTGAAGCCAGGGAAGCTCAGCAGAGTGGACGCTGAGCTACCCAAGGCCCTGCTACGGGGAAGACGGGGTTTGTGCCAGCATCCGCAGAACTGTGCAAACACCGGGCAGCTGGACTTCGGGGAAGGCTCCAAGCTGACAGTACTGGGTAAGCAGGGAAGGTAGAGTGCTGTGGAAGGAAGGTGGACAGAGCAGGACAGCTGCTCAGCCTCCTCTCTGTCTGGGCTGACCTGCCTGGGCAGAAAGATTTCTGGACTGGATGCTGGGACCAGTGGAGCACTCATGGTGGATGGGGATCTGATTCAGGGATGGGACAGCGGGAGTGGGCAGCACCAGGTTTTTGTCCTGAGCCTGGAGGCTGTGAGTGCAGACACCCTATATTTTGGCCAGGAACCAGGCTGACCGTGCTCGGTAAGTTGGGAGCTGGTGATGGGTGCTGGGAATGTAGGGAATCCCCCTGCTGGGATTCCCAGGTGAGGATAGCCAGGGCCAGTTTTTGTGCTGTGCCAAGGGGCTGTGAGCCAAAACACTCAGTACTTCGGTGCAGGCACCCGACTGTCGGTGCTAGGTGAGCTGGGGTATCTGTTTTTGTGTTGGGTTTTGGGGCCGTGAACCAAGAGACCCAGTACTTTGGGCCCGGCACGCGGCTCCTCGTTTTAGGTGAGCTGGGGCCCCATGCGAGAGTGCAGAGGGATGGGGCTGCAGTGGGCGCGGTTGCCTGTGGGGAGGCACAGGATTATGCAGCCCTTGCCTTGGCTGGCAGCCGGTTGACCATGCTAGGTGAGCTTCTTGGCAAACGCAGGCGATGCAGCCGCGAGTCTTTGCACTGAGTTCCGAGGGAAGGCACCCCGGCGGGAGGCTGAGTACCACAGAGATTGTCCCTAAACTGGGGACTTGCTTGGGGCTTCGGGCGGGTTTGGGTGTGGGATTGCGCCTCTGTGCTCCTATGAGCAGTATTTCGGTGCCGGCACCAGGCTCACGGTTTTAGGTAAGTTGTGAACGTCTGGCGCGCCCTCAGCCCTAATTCCTGGGTCTCCGCGGGAGTTTGGGGTTGACCAGAATTAGGGCTCCCCGGGGAGTCGGCAATAAGAGACAGCTCTTAACTTCACGGTTTCTGGGAGGACTGGGATGAGGCAGAGTATTGAGTGCCAGCAAACCAGGAGAGAGTTGGTTTCTTTCTCTTTTCTCTGAGGTATGCACACACCGGGTGGGCAGAGGAGAAAAGGAGTTATCAGCGCTCTGGAAGCAAACTTGGTTTTAAAAGTCAATCGCAGGCTGCAAAGAAATAAAGTATAGGTAAAGACAGGGAGGTTCCCGGAGGTGGTGCGGCTGAACCCTAGACTCTCACCAGCAAAAGCTGTTCCGAGGAGGGTCTTTTGAAAAAAGGGAAATGTGTATCAAGCAAGAAACTAAGGGCAGGCCAATAAACATAAGCCAGAACAGAAGAATCAAAAGCCTGTGGTGCTGACATGCGATTTTTAAACTCTAGCCACTGTTTTCCCTCTAAGTTTGGGATCCCTTGAAGCAGGAATGGATACCCAGCATCCACACATTCTCAGTACGGGTCGGTCCCAAGGCAGGGGCAATTTACTCCCTGAGGTCTATTTACCCTCAGTTTATTCACCTGAATCCTGATCTTCACTGCTCACAGTAGGATAGACAGATTATGAAGCAAGCCTATTGATGGCAGTCACATATTAAAGTGGAATTATTTAGCCTGGGAGATAAGGAAAAATGTTTGAACAACCTTAGGAACCCAGTATTAGGATGGATCTTATATATTACTTGGCAGTAGGGACCAAGGCTTTAGAAGAGAAATAATTCACAGCCTGGATATGTGAACCTATATTATTTGGTAACCATAGCAACAGTGGACAGACAGCATTGGTGGTTGGAGCTTAAGGTTGGATCCAAAGGGACTCAGCCATGTTAATTGTGGTGTAAGAAAAAAATGTTGGGTCCCTGTGGTCTGGTAGGATTAAAAAAAAAGAGCCAGTCTTTTTACAAAATGAGGCTGAGTTCCAATCCTGGCTCTTTGATGATAAGGTAAGCTTGGGTAAGTTAATGTGTGAAGCAGTTCTATGCATACCAATAGGGTGGTAGTTTGAAATGAGGGAAGTGGAATCTTAAACTTTTGCCCATAGCTAGTCCAGTTAACAAGCAAATTACATACCCACAGCAACAATCCTCATTAAAACCCACTTCACTTTCATAAGCAATTCTACCTCCCAAGAACCCTCAGGGATTCACACACAAAGGGATGCCCCCAGCATCTCTATGGAGTTATACAATACTTCAGTGTAGAGTGAGGATCTGCTTCTATTTGTCCTGACTATGGTGTTGATTAATACAGTAGTGAACAATATGCTTGACTCAGGCAAGTCTTTGATTTTCACAACAGCGACTAAATGACTGCTGAGTAAGAGTTCTCAGGAAAGTGCATCCCACAGTTCCCTTGGAAGGCTGGGAGAATCTCAGGCCACTATCTCTGAGAAACAGTAAGACTTGAATAGACAGATCAAAAAGCAGAGAAGCTGATAGAGTCAAGTACCATAGAAAGAAGTGAGAAAATTACCATTACCATCTACGTCTAGCCTGTACAGTCCTAGGTACACAGCTTAGTAAAAAGTGAGGTATTGGGGGAAGAGACTGAGCAGAGACTGTGTCCATTAAGTCCACATCTGCATTTCCAACACTGAGGAGACTGAAGCAAGAGGAATGCCACGAATGTGAGGCCGACTGGGCTACATGCATACAGTCCCTACCTGACCTACACAGTAGTCAGAAAAATACTAATTTCACCCCCTTTTTACTTTCCAGATGATCTGAGCAAGGTGAGCCCACCCAAGGTCACCTTGTTTGAACCATCAAAAGCAGAGATCGCCGAAAAGAAAAAGGCTACCCTGGTGTGCTTGGCCAGGGGCTTCTACCCTGACCACGTGGAGCTGAGCTGGTGGGTGAATGGGAAGAAGGTCGACAGTGGGGTCAGCACAGACCCTCAGCCCTACCTGGAGGACAGTGACCTCAGCTACTGCCTGAGCAGCCGCCTGAGGGTCTCTGCAACCTTCTGGCACAATCCTCGCAACCACTTCCGCTGCCAAGTGCAGTTCTATGGGCTTACAGAGGAAGACCAGTGGGACAAGAGCTCTCCCAAACCTGTCACACAGAACATCAGTGCAGAGGTCTGGGGCCAAGCAGGTAGGCAGGACCTGGGGTGCTGTTGATGAGACCAATCAGCACCAGTGCCTCAGAAAAATGAAAAGATCCATGTAGAAGCAGAGAGCAGACCCAGGAAAAAGCCAGAGTGGTGGGGGGATATTGAAGGACATGGTGTCAGACAACCATAGCATAGGTTTCCTCCCAAGGAGTTCCTAAAGTCAATGGGGCAGCTCGGGCCATTGGGTTCCTAGGTCCTTAGTCTCTCTAAGCTGCACAGATGGGTTCCCTCATACCATCACACAGCCCAGCATGTGTCATTCTCATCACTGGTCCTAGATTTTTAAGTTCACTGTAACAGTGTCTTGCACTTGTCCTAAAGCATCAGAAACACAGTGTGAGGACTATCAGAGGAGAGTGCATACACCATCGAACATGCATGTGTTTGTAGACTTGGAGTTCAGCTTGAAAGTTTGTTGTTGAGTGCTCAGTCTCCCCCACGCAGTGGTATTCTTTCACACATTTTTCTCTCTCTGTTTTCTTTCAGACTGTGGAATCACCTCAGGTGAGTAAGCCTCCCCACTTCCTCTAAGTCTTCTATGGTCTTGGCTCTGCAAACAGGGCACAAAGAATCTACAGACACTAAGACTGAGACAGCCCAAAGCTACCTGCTCCCAGGAACCTACTAACTCTCCTTTTCTGTCAACAGCATCCTATCATCAGGGGGTCGTCTCTGCCACTATCCTTTATGAGATCCTCCTGGGCAAAGCCACCCTGTATGCTCTGCTGGTCATTGCCCTGGTGCTCATGCCCATGGTACGAATGGTAGGATGGGACAAATGGGTAGAGGGAGGGTATAGATGACAATACAGAGAATGTAAAGAGATCTCAAAGGACTCAGCCATCACAGATCCTGTCATCTCAGAAAGACCACTAGGAACACAGAACAAAAAGAAAATGCAGAAATGCTTATTATGTTCTCCTGGAGGATGGGGGATCTCTTCAAAATTCATACTTGAGATTTATACTTGAAAATCTACATTGTGCATTACCCTCCCCCGATCCACGGCTTCTGGGTCTCTAACAATGTCTTTTCTTTCTCAGATCAAGAAAAAAAAATCCTGAGACCAACTCTTGTGTATCCTGAGTTGTTGTTCATCCTGACCATAGATTCTCCAGCATCTTCCGTAATCCTTGTTCCTAAGGAGTTGTTGCATCTTCCTCCACGGATATTCCCTCCTTCCTCATTGCTTCCCAAAGACTGACCTCTTGACTCTGAAACAGACTAAATTAATAAAAAATTTTGAGATAGGCCTGGTTGTGTCTCAGCAGTCTTTTTGGAATCCTACTGCTACTGACATTTCTAATGGTTGGAAAAGGTGAACGGAGTGTCTAATCTGCTTTCTTGCCAAAATTTATTTTCCCTCTTTTATACTCTGTATTCTCCAGTGAGTCATTTGTCTGATGGGCAACAACTGGGTTCTGGAACACCAGCAGTATAGAACAGGGAAATAAAAATTACCACTAACAATAACCCCACACGGTACAGCGTAGAGGCTCTGCAGACTCATGAATTATAGTACTTGCTTATCTGTGTCTATCCTTACTACCTCTGACTGACATTGTTTGAAAGCTTTAACTTAAGGCCTATGGAACTCCCAAGTCTAGTCTGGGGTCTTAGAGAAGGCAATGAAACTGATAGGTGAGGTCAATAACCCCAGGTCCCCAGGACCATGGCACACAGGGCCAAGTCCCATTGGGGGAGGAGCTGGAACAGATTAAGGTATTACATGTGCAGAGTAATCCTTCCAATGTATAAATTTCCCTGTCAGATTGAGACCAGACAAACCTGGGCTGAGGATATTAGGTATAGCTCTTCAAATAGAGAATTGCCTTGAAAGGGTAAACTATCATGTTTACTCATTACAATAGAACAATATACGTGAAAGAGATTAGAGAACAGGTAGCACAGAAAAGTGAGAGGGGCTACATCAAAGTTTAGAAACAAAGTCTAAAGGCAAAGAAAGAAGATGACAGTGAATGAATGGGAAGGAGGTCCACATCGAGGTCAGCACAGACCCTCAGCCCTACCTGGAGGGCAGTGACCTCAGCTACTGCCTGAGCAGCTGCCTGAGGGTCTCTGCAACCTTCTAATACAATCCTTGCAACCACTTCCTCTGCCAACTGCAGTTCTATGGGCTTACAGAGGAAGACCAGTGCGAGAAGAGCTCTCCCAAACCTGTCACACAGAACATCAGTGCAGAGGCCTGGGGCCAAGCAGGTAAGTGGGACCTGGATAGCTGGGAAGAAGAATGAGCATCACTCATGTCAAAGTGAAGTGGAAAGATGAAGGCAAAAAACGAGGAGGTCTAGATACAGAAAAACAGTAGAAGGAGCCTAATGCTTACCGTCGAGATAAACTAGATGCTGACGGCGATTTCTAACTCCAGATCCTCAGCCCAGTACCCTTACATGCAGAGTCTCTTTTCCATGCCACCTGAGCAACTCAGACATTGAAGCACTACCTTTATGCCGAAGCCAGGGGTTTCAAGAATAAGGGGTTTGCACTGGGGCAACAGAAGAGAGGTGGTCATGAAGCCTCCTGGGGAAGCTAATCTGGGCCTGTCATAATTTGCTAAGCTCAAGGTTAACTTAATTTTCAATCTGCTTAATATGAGGAGGTCTCATCCATTTTCCTCTCTCTCTTTTCTTTCAGATTGTGGCATGACCTCCGGTAAGTAAGTTGATTCCCTCTTCACCTCTCATGATCTTGACTGTAGAACTAGCTACCTGCCCAAAGGTACTTATCTGTTCTCCTTTTCTGTCAACAGCATCCTATCTACAAGGAGTCCTGTCTGCCACCATCCTTTATAAGATCTTGCTAAGGAAAGCTACCCTGTGTGCTGGGCTTATTGGTACCCTGGTGCTGGTGGCTATGGTAAGGAGTGGGCAGATGGACTATACAGGGCAGGTGACACATGAAACACAGGAAAGCTAGATCCAGGGCCTTAAGGACTCTACTAGAACTAAGGGTGAGCAGTAGAGAGAGCTTTGCTTCCATGCTCTAAAAGAGAAGCAGAAACTACAAAGAGTTGTAGTGAATGAGCCATACGGAGGATAAGCAATGGTAACTCAAGATATTTTAGGCCTGCTATCATTTGTCTAAATAAGGGGCCTTCCTACTTCCTCTCAAGCATGGCCCTTGGTAAACCTAAAACCTTTCTCTTCTGCAGGTCAAAAGAAAGAAATCCTGAAACTAGACCTGAAGGTGGATCCAAGAACTTGTAACCCATGATGGTGTTAACACAGATTCTCTTTTTCCAGCACTTCTGAAGAGCTGTTCTCATTTGTGTGAACATCCCAACGTCTGCCTACTAGGCATGTATACTTGCACATGTGCATCTGAAATCCTTGTGGCCTGGAAAATGCCTACCACACTTATAACCAATAAATATAACCGATGAACATGTTCTAGAATGGCCCGATTCTCACTGTGTGTTTAGATAGCTTTATTTCTTGTCTGTCTCTGAACTCCCTAATCAATAGTAAAAGAAGAGGTGGTCCTGCTGAGACTTGCTAAGTAGGGGCAGATGGCAGGGTAGGAGAACTCCCCATTTCAGTGGACTAGGGGAAGGAGATGGGAAGGAGAGAAGGTGGGACTGGGAGGAGTTAAGGGAGGGGGCTGCAATTGGGATATACAATGAATAAATTGTGAAAAAAAATGAAAAATATATGCTCTTTCTTATTCTATTAAAAAAAGAAGAGCCATTCAAGAAAATGATGGGCACCTCAGGTATGAAGAGTGAGGGCTCTCACCCTCAGAGTAACAGAAGATGCTAATTAAGTTTGAAAGGTAGTGACTGGATCTAAAAATTCTCAAAAAAGAAAGATAGTGGTCCCAAGTACAGGAATTTTATTATCCTCAAATAAAAGGGGGTTCTGGGGAGCAGAAGCTATAGGTTACATAAATGTATACTCCTGTAACTGGTCATGTCCCCATAGCTAACAAGGCTTGGTTGGTTCCCTGTCTATTGCCAATCTTCCGTTCAGCCTCTCACTGAACACGTGTTTGTTCACCAAGCAGCTTTCCCAGATGATCATCACACAATCATGCACTGACTTGGAAAACTGTGTTTCAAAGGAAGATGTGTATTTCATTTAAGATAGGAAATTCATTGATAAATTATTCTTCAGTGAACAATCAACAGATCCGAAGAAGCCAAGAAGGCCCAAGGGAAGATGCTTGAAACTAATTAAAACAGATATCTGAAGTAGATGAAGTCATGGAATTGGGTGGGAGAGGGGGTGAGGAAGGTGAAAGGGGTGGGGATCAAGTATGGGGAGAGAGAGGGTGGGGTAGGGGAACACTGAGAGAGAATGGACATAAATGGAGGGGTGTTTCTGGAGGCTCACTGGAGTCTATGGGGTGACCTCAACTGAGACTTCTAGCATGAGCTGTTAAGGAGTCTGAAGTTACCACCTCTTGTAGCCAGGTGGGACATCCAGTGGAGAGAGGGGGACACTAACCCACTTATAAAACATTCCAGCCAAAATTTGTCCTGCTTACCAGAAGTACGGGACTAAGGATGAAGCAAAGATTGAGGGAATGGCAAACCAATGACTAGCCCAACTTCAGATCCACCCTATGGGAGAGACATGCCCTGACACTATTAATGATACTCTGCTATGCTTCCAGACAGAAGCCTAGCATAACTGTCTTCTGAAAGGCTTCATCCATCAGTGGATGGAAACTGATGTAGAGACCCACAGCCAAACAATAGACTGAGCTCTGAGACTCTAGTGGAAAAGTGAGAGAAAGGATAGAGGGAGCTGGAGGGGTCAAGGACACCACAGACCTACAGAGTCAACTAACCTGGGCTCCTGGGGGGTTCACAGAGACTGAACTACCAACCAAAGAACATGCATGGGCTGGACCTAACCCCCTACACATATGTACCAGATGTGCAGCATGTTTGGAGACATGTGCGTCCCCAAACAATGGGTGTGGGGGCTGTCTCTGACTCTGTTGTCTGCCTCTGGATCCCATTCTCTAGCTGTGCTATCTTGTCAGGCCTCACTGAGAGAAGATACATTTAGGCCTGCTGTGACTTGAGATCCCACGGTGGGTTGGAACCCACCTCCCCTTCTCTGAGAAGAAGGAGGAGAGGAGGGATGGGTAGAGGGCATGTAAAGGTGGGACTGGGTGGAGAGGAGGGAGGGGGCTGGGATCAGGCTGTAGAGTGATTAGATAGATAGATAGATAGATAGATAGATAGATAGATAGATAGATAGATA